CACACACACACACACTGGGGTCTCCTCACACACACACACACTGGGGTCTCCTCACACACACACCGGGATCTCCTCACACACACACACACTGGGGTCTCCTCAGACACACACCAGCTTCTTCTCACACACACACCGGGATCTCCACCATTCTAATTCCCTGTTGCTGCTGCAGCTGGTCTTTGCTCATGTATAATCCTCTCTCCCGCTCACTCTCACCCCGTCCTGTCAGGGTTTTACCCACAAATGACTTTCTTTTCCCTTAATCTCGTGGTCATATCCCGTGCCGCGTCTGGCAGGGCCGTCTCTCCCCTCCTAGCAGCCACTTTCCGCACTGGCTTTGAAGCTGCGCTCCCTGGTTGGCGGTCTCCCTGGAGCCTCTTATAAAGGGGGGCCCGGCCGAGTCCACCCCACAGCCTCCCCCCGGTGGCGGCACACGCACCCATCGCCCTCGCCAGCCTGGCCACGACCACGGCACCGGGAGAGGACGCTGGGGACACGGAGACTCAGTCAGCACCTGTAACCTAACTCCCGCCCCTCCCGGGCCACTCACGCTTTTAGCGTATTAATGTCGAAAGTGACGGACAGGCTGACGGACGTCCTCTTTTCTTGCTGTAACCAAAGTTCATCCATTAATTCATGTCGGACCTTGAATAGATGGAAAAGAATATTAATTCAGATTTAATTTAAGCAAATAATTAGGTAGAGACTGGATACTTTTTGGCTACTATTTTACAAATATTCCTCCTTTAAAAATAGTGCTTGTAATTAACAAGTTTCTTCTCATTGATTATGCTCCACGTTTAGTTCTTTCATAGATAATTTTAGTTGCTTTCCTAAACATAAAATTACTAGATGATGAATGCTCTCCATACATGCTGTTGTGATTATTTTATAAATTATCTGCTCCCTTTTTTTAATTTGATGCTGTTAAAAAGGGAACATTGAGGGTCACAACAAGGAAAAAGTTTCGGTTTGGATGCGTTCACGCACGTCCGCATCTGTGCGTGTTTCTCTGTCCCGCAGTGGATGGTGTCGGCTGTGTTCGTACAGTTTTCTGAACAATGGCAGTTTACGGCTTCTTTCTTCCTACACTTTTCCGCACTCCAACTCACCATGAGGGCGAACATCTGGTGGTATCTGTGCGGCACGTTCGCCTTTATGAATGGCGCTGCTGCGGCACAAAACTTCACGGCCTCCTCCTTTTTTCCAGCTTCTAGGTAACATTCCAGAAGCTCCCTGGATAATATAGAAATGGTGCATGTTCCACCCTGATGAAATCACTTTCTGCTGCAAATGTCTAATAACCAGGTTATTATACTTTTTTTTTAAGTTTTTATTATTTTTTAGTTTTTTTATTTTTAGGTTTTTTGAGGGGGGGTAATTAGGTTTATTTATTTAACTACTTTTTTAATGGAGGTACTGGGGATTGAACCCAGGACCTCGTGCATGTCAAGCATATGCTCCACCACTGAGCTCCACCCTCCTCCTCCATAGTTTCATTATTTTTATGTTTTAGAATCTTCAGCAGGGATCGGCTCACAGGGTCAGGCAGGTGGCGACCGGGGAAGCCACACTCCTGCCAGAGAAGGGAAAGGGGCTGGCTGCACGGTCCTCACCGAGGACATTAAACAACGACCTTGTAAAGAAAGATCATATTACTTATTTTCTATTCAAGTCTCCCAGGCGGCCAGAAAGCAGGTAAGGAAAGCCTGAAGGTTCTGGGTCCTCATCACAGCGTTCATGGGGTCACCGGCCACACACAGCGCTGCCCAAACATGGGGCAAGCCTGACCGGTGCCTTTTGGTCAGCGCACTGGCACGGGGACCCCTGCTGCCACCACTCGCTGTGGCTGCACAGGTCGGGCCGTCCCTGGGGTGAGGCCTGAAGTTGGGTCACCTGGACATGCCCGCCTTCTGGCTGAGCCATACACCTGCTGCTAAAATGTCTATGCCTTCGACAATTTAATGAAATTTTCAAAACCAAGAACCAGGACTACAACACAGGCTCCCCACCATGTTCTGATTAGAAGCGTGTCCTGTGCCAAGGCCCGTCTCGTGGGGGCGCCGTGATGTCATCTGCAGAGTTTAGAGACATCTGTGCACAAGATGCACACAGCCTGATTCCAACCCCAGAGCAGAAAGCAAGGCGCGAGCCCAGGGGAGCGGGGAGGGTGGGTCAGCGTCCGCGAGGGGCGTGGGGACTCACAGCATCAGCTCGGCCCGCCAGTCCTTGTCTTCCTCCTCAATCTGATTCAACACGTTTACAATCTGGGACAGGCTGGGGATCAGATGGTGATGATACCCAGGCTTGAGAAACGGCCTCACCATCTGCCAGTAGAGGACCGATGCGTTGTACACCAGGAAGTAATACCTACGGCACAAGAGGAGGACACCCGAGACTCGCTCAGAAACCAGCCCGTCCCGGGACCCTTCCTAGGGGAATCTGGGGTCCTCTGCACCCAGCAGACGGCAGCAGCCCCACCCACGATGCTCCAGCCCTTGGGGCCAGGTGCAGATGCAGGGGGGATGCAGAGCCCTTCCCAGCGCAGCCCAGCACCCTGCCCCGCTGGGGTTGGTGGCACCAGTTCAGCCCCAGACATGACGACCAGGACATAGGCTCCCGGGTCCAGACTAGAGAGGCTGTCACTATTCAGTCATTCCACAAAGTGATCAACTCCCCATAAAAGCACGCCAATGAGCAAGGCCTCCTTCAGCTCCAATGCGATAGGCAAGAATGGGCAGGTGCAGGGGAAATCAAGGAAGGCTTCCTGGAGGAGGTGACATCCTGTTGAGTCCTGCAAGGTGACTGGGAATCCCCAGGAGAGCAGTTCGGGGAAATAGGTTTGGGCAGGTCCCTGCGCCTGCAAATGAAGTGCAAAGTGATGGGGGGAGGGCTGGGGAGGGAGCAGGGGCACCCTGAGAAGCCGGGCTTTCTCCTGAGAGCTGCAGGAAGCCACCAGAAGAATCTGAGTAAGGGACTCACACGGGCCTCCCCTGCAAGGGGACAAACTCCCTTGCAGGGCCCCAGGCACGTGGGGTGCTGCATCTGACAGAGGAGTGCTGCTAATGAGTGCTGTTCCCCAGGGAGGAGGCAGGACCCAGGGCCCCGGCGGAAAGACAGGCTGCAAGCTCCTCTGTGGGCTTTATTCAGAGCCCCTCTGCTCTGCCGCCAGCCCCCGGGGTCCCTGGTCCCCCATCAGGCAGTCTGCAGGTGTCCCAAGACCCCTGGAGTGCAGCATCGGCCAGGCTCCTCCCCAAGGGTGCCTGCCGCTCGCGCTCCAGGGCTCTAGGGCACGGTCCCCTTGAAACACCCAGTGTCCTGAGAACCTCTGCTCGAGGCTGATCCTTGCCATCCAGACATCTCCGCTGAGGGAGGGACGCGGGCCGGGCCCTGTATCCCCAGCACCTACGACAGGGGCGACCAGAGGTGGCCATCACAGTGGGTGTTGGGAGAACAAATGAATGAACCTAGGGTTTATACATAAATCTCCTTTAAATGTTGTGTCCTATCTAAATAGGTTGTATTAACACCAATTTGTATGCAAACTTATCACTTCCAATAATATTTATTTTTGATGAAGCAGTAAGTAAGTAGATCGCTGTGCTGGAGTTTCAGGGGGGTCACCTGCACAGACAGGAGGCCTTGGGCCTGGCGATCTGCCAGGGGTGGGGGCCACAGCACAGGGAGGGGGCCTGGATACCAAGCCCCTGGAGAGGCCCAGCGTGTGGTCAAAGGAGAGGCTCCCACAGAGGAAGCAGACAGTGGTCACCTGCAGATCACAGAAATCTTTTAACAGAGAGGACGCAGCTGAAGGACAGTGTGTGCACAACCCAGCTGGATGTGTTGTGAGAGACACCAGTGTACAATCACAAATGCGTCAAAACACAAACAACAGCTCAGGGAAATGCACTCAACATCTTGTAGCAGCTCACAGTGGAAAAGAATATGAGACTGAATATATGTATATTCATGTATGACTGAAGCATTGTGCTGTACACCAAAAACTGACACAACCTTGTAAACTGACTATAACTCAAAACACACACACACACACACACACACACACACACACACAAAACAGGAATAGGAAACCCTACCGTCTAAATGGACAGAGCCATGTGGTAATTTCTGGGTCTAAACCTTTCACACGGTCAGTCAGAAGCAGCCGACTCCATTACGCCTACCTCGGTTCTCCTTTTGCGAAGTTGATCGCCTTCATGTACTGAGTCACGCAATTTTCAAATTCCTCCTAAGGCAACATAAAAACACACAGTTAAATCAGATTTGCCACTGAAACGCCAATCATTGCTCATGGTCACTTTCGGGAACATTAGGTGGCCCTGAAGACTGGCCCAGGCTCCGCGTTTGAGCAGTGGGAGTGGAGACCAGGAGCCTACCTCTCCCCCTGGCCACGGGCTTGTCCAGGGCACTAGGATGCCAGGGTCAGGTGTCAGAAGGATGCAGCCAGGCCCCCGCACTCAGGGGGCAGCGCAGATGGGAGACGCTGCGAGTCTCGCTTCACTGAAAGCTAATCTGGGTGACTGACACCCGACGAAAACGTCTTAAGTCTCGTCTAGCCTGACACGATCTCAAAGTGGGGTGACATTTTGAGTGCTGTGGCACAAGATGTGAAATTTTGAGGAGAAGCAAAGCAATTGCAGGGAAAAATACAGTAGGTCAGTTCGATATTCACTTCAGGACAGTGAGCAAGCAAAGTCTGAGAGAGTCAAGGCTGTGCACACGGAGCCGTCGGGAGTCAGACAGACAAATGAGGGGCAACCAGATGAGGCAGAGCCCACCGGGGCCATAGCGTGGGTACCAGCCCGCCGGGACCCGGGTGCGCGCCTCTCTCACCATGTTCTCGGTGGACGTGGGGGCACACAGCTGGGCCCTGCACAGGTGCGCTCGGCCCAGAAACTGTGTGACCGGCCCCTTCACCTTGAAGTACATCTGGACACAGTGCTCGCTCACCTCCCGCTGCCCCATCTGCAGGGGAGCACAGCGCCCACCTGAGAGGCTCGGAGAGACACCTGCCTTCCCACACGCCCAGGGACGGCCGCCAGCCGTGGACCACCCCAGCCCTCTCCACCCTCTGCTTCCAGGGCAAACCAAGAACTCCCAGGGCCCTGGGGTCAAGTACCTTCAGGGCCTGCTCAGCACACAAAACAAACAGGTCGGGGCTGAAGCTTTCTGTGGGGTCAAACTCTGATTTCCCCAGGTTGGCGGACTTAATCAACTGATAAGCCCTCTTGAGGGAGGCGGCATCTGTCAGGACAAGACCCAGGGGGATCTGGTCAGAAAAAGCACCCACTGTGCCACTGGGGAGCAGCGGGACTTCAGGAGGGCCCAGGAGGGGCTGGGGTCAGGCAGGCCCGCCCACGGCTGTGCCCTGGTCTGTGGCCCAGCACCAGCACCCGGCCGGCCTTCGGGGTCGGGGAAGCCAGGGCCAAGGTGCTCCCAGCACGGCCCTGCGGACCCTGCAGGGCACTGGGGTCAAGCTCTAGAAGCAGTGGGAGCTGAATAATTCTTGAGGAGCGGTTTAGAATGACAAAAGCCTTCTTAGAAAGGCGCCTTGGTGTGCCTTGGTCAGGCAAACCCAGGAAGTGCTGGCTTCAAGGGGCCACTGGATCAGGCCAGGCAGGGGTCAGCAGGGGGCAGAGGGGTCCTGGTGGGTCTGAGGGCCTCCCCAGGATCACGGTCCGACAGCTCGGACCCTCCTCTGGTCGGGACGTGCGCGGGCCTAGAGGACAGGGTAGCGGAGGTCCCGGGGC